TCAGTGATGCTCTGTTTACTGTAAAGGCTGAACCTCTTTGCATGATAAATCCCAGTGAATTTTGTGTTAAATCCTACTTATAACAAAAAGATTGTTTCATTTTTAAAGAAAACCAACTGGCCTGAAGGTCAAACTTCTGTATTTTAACACAAGGTTTGAACTTTTTTTTCATGCTTACTTACTCAAAGGCCTATATCCAAAGAAAAGTCTGTGAATCTGACTGCCTGCTTAGTCCTGGAAATGCTAAATTACTCAGACTCTTCACATCGATTCCTAATTCAGCCATCTCTGAATGTCTGAATGTCATCTCTCTGGGGTGCAGAACCACTGTCCAGCTACAGCAAGACATTCTCAACCTCAGCTACATGGGGTGAAGGTCTTTCCCTGTCTCTCCCTGTGCCTTGGGGGAGTATCAGTGGGAGAAGGCAAAAGTGTTATAATGGTTCCAGGTGCCAGGCCCAGGCCTTTCCCTCACTGATTGCTCATGCTACGGGCTTACAGCTGTCCTTTGAAGGCTCACGGTTTTTTCTTTGTTGGCTACAGTTTGTCAGGAGAAGAATGCATCTTATAGCCTGGTAACATCAACAGCTGCGAGTTCAAGTCAGTCAGTGTTTGAAGAAGCATCACAAAAGAAGTTTTCATTCTTCCTGTGTTTTCAGAGGATGTTGGAGGATGGAAACAGAAATCTCTAAGTGAAAAAAAGCAGGTTGCACAAAAACAGCAATCATGAATCAATGCCTGAGAGCAGAGTTTCAGGCACATCCTTTTCATTAGCTATTTTTTTTTTGATGGTTTGGGTGTATCAGTTTGCTGGTCCTTCAGCCCCCATGTGGTACCTATTATTCTTCACATCTTGTACAGGAGTTTCAAGAACTTAGGACAGGAATCTGAAGTTCACTCTTGAGCTTGACACCCAGGTTTCCACATTTGCCCCAGCTGGACATGGCAGAACCTGAGGACCTTCATCTAATGATGACCAACTGAAATGCTTGGAAGTAACTCTTCCAGCCACCCTCATGGGTCTGCTCCAGCACCCTGACCTAAAATGTTTCTTCCTGACTTCAAGGGGCACTGAATCAGGTACTAGGCACTCAGGAACTATTTTGCCCAGGTATATGCATTGCTTTCTGATGTTCTAAAGGAGCATCAAACTGAAAGTGTGAAGTATTTCTTCTGTGTTTGTAGAAGAACCTGGCAGAGAACAGAACTTTGACTGCTTTATAAAGCTAAAAGACCTTTTTTCCTTTTTTCATTATTTTAAAAGTGGACTTTTTTGATATCCAGTAACTTAAATTATTCTCAGCAGGTACTCTTCTCTGCCATGTATATAGTGTCTGGAGAGATTATAATAATAAAAAAAAGGGTTTAAGAAATCTCAAGCACTTTTATTGAAAGAACCTTTCTTCAAAGACCACAAATTTAGCTCGTTTATTTATCAGTAAATACATGTTGGACTGTGCAGTGTTTGGGAAATATTTATTTTTAAAATACTAGGTCAGTGCTGTAAAGGAAAGTTGTACAGAAATCAAACATTGAGCAGGTAAGTTAACATGCAACACCTTCCAAAAGCACAAGCAAAAGTATTAAGGAATAACACTGACAAAGAGTTCAGTAGTTGTTAAAAACCGTCAATCTTCAAATCAACTTTGCAGGGACAAATAACAAAGCTGATAGCTGAAGTTAGAATTTATCACTAATGGTTGCAAAGCAATCTGATATGTGTGCAGACCTGACCACTGGGGGATATCCTCAGGCCAGGAGCATTGCTGCAGCAGGGTGTCACCATCAGGCCAACCAGCATCCTACTGCTGGCTGCCAGTGGCAGGGCAGGAGAGAGGGTCAGGACTAAACCCTGTCCATCTAAGGGGTCACTACAAGCATTCCCGTCCTGCCAGCAACTGCATGTAACATAAACCAGTCTTTCGATCCTTGTAATCAGTATGCAAAGTGGTTTGGTGTCTACCCTTAATCAAAAAGTTGTAAGGGTATAAGGCATCTTTTTTTCACTACACTCTTCCTGAGCTGCTGTGCTTTTCAGCAAGCCCTCAGGCTATAGTCTGGTTGACTTTAAACAAGCAAGACCCTTGCAGTAAACAAACACAGATATTTCATTTTATAAATACATAAGGGGATTTATACAGCAAGATTGAGCTGATTATCTGATTGTAGTAACAGAACAGTCAAGAAGCTTTTTCCAGGGTTTGCTTGTTTTGTGGTTTCTGGTGATCGAAAAGCACATCTTCCAAAAGCAAAGTGAAACTATATTAAATATAGCATGACCATAGAAAAGGAGAACAAAGACCTGGCACATCTCCCACAATGAAGTAGATGGCAAAGGTTCCATTTAATTCAGCAGGAATGGGACCACAAATAAATAGTAAGTCATAAATACTACTTGCATACTAACATGGTAGACTAATTAGATTGAGACAAAGAAAAATTCACACCATTGTATATGAAAATGATGCACAAAACAATTTACAAATAGTTAAAGTAATCATCATATATTAATCAGCTCTTAATTACAGATGCATTTCCATCATTTTTTACAATACTCACAAACTCTGGACAAAGCAATGAATACAACAGGGGCATGTGAAGAGCATGTGTTCTGCTGGCAGTCAGCTTTTGCACTGTGCCTACTGTCAAGAGCCAAATCTGTGGGTACCCAGCCAATCATTGAGTACCCAGACAGCCAACCTCTTTGAAATTCCCTTTTTCTTGAATTTCAGCACTCTCAGGTAAGGAAGTTCTAGCAATATTGATCTCTGCACTGCAGAGTTGTTATTTTTTCACTTAAAAGGTTCTTAAAAGCTTTAAAAATAATTTAACAATAGTAACAATTCAGCTCAAAGATTGTGTCTGATCCATTCCTTAAACTTTAGGCAAGACAAGGGAAAAAAAAATCCTTGCTGTACCTTACATTCCCACTACTACCAACTGATTTATTCATGACTGGTTTACTTACAGGATACAATCTCTCAAAAATATCATTTTTCATCATTTAATTTTTGTCACTATTTTGATACATTATGACAGCTAAGATGCTGGTCACTGCATTTCATTTTGATAACTTATAAATACACATAGCCCAACAGATGACTTTCTTTACTTTACATATCCCTCCCTTCCCTCTTTACATATTATCCACTGCACACACAGATTGTAGTGAAAATAAATGACTTTTAAAAGTACATCCTTCATTAATCGATTGAGTCTTCTTTTCAGTATACTAAGATACTTCGTCGTGCTGCCTGTCATGAAAAGATACTGTAGGGAAATTCTGTGGTCTGCAGTATGTGAGAGTTCAGATGTGATGAGCCTTTCTTATCATATTATCTATCATACTATGAATAAGCCAAACAGTAAAGCAAATAAACCTCTGGAAATTATCCGGCACAAACTGAACTTCAGCTCACATTGAAAATGGTATCACTTACTACGGTTGACAACTCTTCAAAAATTCTCTTAAATGATCGGCATGATTATTTTCTCTCATGAAGATACACAACTTGGAGAGAAAATACAGGTGTCAAAGCATGATTTCACAGAACAGGGCATTCACATAATATTCAAGGCTGAGGTTAAAACAATCAATTCCATGTTTTGAACATTAATAACACTGGGGGACTGCTCATAAGCAGTTAACAAATTTTCTCTGGCTGAACAACAGTTGCCACATGATTATAATACTGGTGATTCTTTGCACAGCAGACCAGTGGAGACTGAAAATATCATGTCCACTAGGAGTGGTAATTGTAAAGCCACAAAGAGAAATGTCTCCCTTTTGCATGTTTTATTAAAAATTAAAAAACAGTTTTACACACAGAAAAAGAACTATTACAAATTGGAGGAAGAAAAATGAGTCTGTTCCATTTAAAAAAAAAAAAGTTTGTTCAGTGCTTTAAAGCCAAAACATTTCACCACAAGGACGTAAATCACTGAAGAACATTACCCAGGGATATTGTGCCATCTATGTTGTGGAGATTTTTCAGGATGTGACTAGACAAATCCCTGAGCAGCCTGGTCTGAATTCAGTACTAACCTTGCTTACAGCAAGAGTGAGATGGCCTTCTGAGGTCCCTTCTACTTGAAATATCCTACAGTTCATTGTTTCCACTGCTCTTGAATGATCTGGGAATTACTGACAGAACCGGAATGGTGATACATGGGAACTTTAACAAGCTTTCTCTTAGTTGGATCTCCTCTTCATGACTCCAGGACCAAAGGCCTAGATAAACCATGTGCTCTTTCTTTCTGTGCTGTACATCCTTCTGGGAAGACACCATATGATATAATCCAAGACCTGTACCTGGGATTAGCTACTTGCATAAACACTTCCCTTTAGTACCTGATTAAGTTAGTCTTCATTTAGCCAGGTGTTGCATATCTATAACCATAATCATTACCACAGGGGTTTCGTTAACATTCTTTGCACAGTGGCATCTCCTGATTGGCCTAGTCAGGGACATAGCCCTGTTTTGCAAGCACTGCATAAAAATCACCAAAGAAAGAAAAAGAAAAGGGAGGTAGCCAGTCTATATAGATAGCAAACTCAGTCAGGCTGAAAAGTGTGGTGGTGCGTACACACAGCAGTTATTTACACAAAAACTTCACTAAAAAAAAGTGCTTCTTTAATAACTAATTGCAACTGAATCTGCAACTTAAAGCTAACAGAAGTAAACTACACTGTATTCTGGCATTATAGAAGTCATAACTGACATCTCTAAGTATGCACTATCAAAAATAGATGTAAACCATTTAGTCAAAAAACAAAAGATCTTTTGTTGTTGTTGTTAGGAAAAATAGATAATTTACTCTATCTGTAAAAGACAGGGAGGTTGTGAATGCTCCATCCCTGGCAGTGTTCAAGACCAGGTTGGATGAGGCCTTGGGCGATATGGTTTAGCGCAAGGTGTCCCTGCCCACGGCAGGGGGGTTGGAACTAGATGATCTTAAGGTCTTTTCCAACCCTAACTATTCTATGATTCTATGATTAAGTTTACAGCCATCATAGAGGTGCCCCAAGGGATGACCCAAGATAAATACATCCATCTTTGATTCAGGCTATTAACTGAAAGCTCTTTACAAATTGTTATGAGTCCTTCCCAACAGGCGAAAAGAACAATGCTGTAGTTCTTACTGTGAAAACCATGTAATAACCATAGAAAACATGATTATTTGATGATCTTTTTGAACTCCAAGCTCCTCTTCTGTCTACACTGCACTGTTTTGTGTTTACAACATTAACAGTCTAGTAACCTTAAACTGCCACCTGTCCTGCAGAGATCATGAGCTTCCTGGTGAAGATGCGCTGTAGTCTTGATTGATGGATTGGGTGCCACATCTTCAGCATTCTGTCTTGTGCTTTCATTTATCAAGGGAATGTATCTCTACTTTTGGCAGACAGGTATGATGATAATTTGGACTCAATTCATATAGATTAACTCAAATCTATCAACATATGTTTATCCAGAAATATACCACATGACAACAGCAACATGTTTCAGTGATGTCCTTGAAGAAGGTAGACTACACTTATGCTAAACTATGTATTCTCCTTCCAGATGACAAGGTGCTCAACAGATAAAGTGCTGTGTAACTGGTCATGCTGCTCTTTGCCATTTTCTGTGCATTTTTGACAGGTCTGTAAACTATGTGTTCAAGAAAATCCCCTGCCTGATTTTGTGATCAACACTATTTCAAACAGGGTTTGAAGCTAAAAAACAAAAAACTAATATGATCTTTGACAAACCCCAAATATTGCCAACATAATCGTAAGAAAATGTATTTGAAATAACAAAATCTAAATCTCATTACTCCCCTACCCTGAGAATGGGTTCAAACTACCAGTGATAATGGCGATGCGCATTCAGTTTTTCCTTCATAATATGAAGATATAAAAATTCAAACTAGCTGAGCTAGATTAGAAACTTGATGTAAGTTTATGTTATTTCAGAATTCTAACACTTTCCCCGATTAGACTCTCAGACTGGATGATCAGTCTCCGGGACTGGAAAATATGGCATATATAGTAATGGAGATCCCTATTGCTGTGGTGACAAAAAAGCATTTTAAATGACTCACCACATGTCTGGGGAAAAGGAAAGAAACAAACACAATTCAAACCAATCCCCAGGATTACTGTTGTTTTTTTACAGCCCAGTGCTATTTGCAGAAGGAATGTCTGGTGCCCAACTTGGATAAGTATAGAGATTGAACATAGGCACTATCCACGTCATAACTGCAAGCATAACTACAGCAACTCCGATGATGTTAATGCCCAAACCAGCCTTCACCTAAAGGAGAAGAAAAAGAAAGCAGAAACTTGAATCAAGACAACACAGATTCTAAAATGCTAAAAATGCTCTTTAGGATGTTTTGCTTAAAACTCACCATGTCCATAACAGTTAAATGACCATATGAAAATACAATGGCATTGGCTGGGTTTGCCACAGGAAGCAGGAATGCAAAGGAAGTGCACAAGGTAGCAGGTATCAAAATGAAAAGTGGGTTTACATGAATGGCTTCAGCCTATCATAAAATAAAAGAGAGGGAACAGCTGTCAAGGAACACATTTTCTGAACAACATACATAAATACAAACTTACCATATTGACACAAGTCAACTCAGAACAGAGCTGCCAGTTTAAATAGTGAGAAATAGCCTCTTCTGATAAGTCACTTTTAAGATTATATCTGGGAACACTTTAGAGGAGAAAAGGTGATTCTAATATAGAATAGCTACTGAACTTAAAATTCATAGAATCATAGAATTATAGAATAGTTAGGGTTGGAAAGGACCTTAAGATCATCTAGTTCCAACCCCCCTGCCATGGGCAGGGACCCCTCCCACTAAACCATGCCACCCAAGGCTCTGTCCAGCCTGGCCTTGAACACTGCCAGGGATGGAGCATTCACAACTTCCCTGGGCAACTCATTCCAGTGCCTCACCACCCTAGTGCCTGATATTTTCTGATTGTAGTTTAGTCCATAAAATAAGACTGTTGCAGAGAGTATGCACATTGCACGAGCACTAAAAACAAAAACGTCAACAAAAAATGCAAGAAAGATGAGAAAGTTGAGTTTTATTATAATACTTATGAGAGATTCACTGAAGCAAGCACTAAGGTTTCTTTGTAAGAGAGTGAAAGGGCATTGGTATGTGTCTAGGCTGGCCAAGAGGAAAACCTACAGACTAGATGATCAGTAAGTTTTGAAGAAGAAAAAAGAATTGTGTGTTTTAATAAAGATTATGAGAAGACAGGCCACAATTGAGATAAGGAGAGAAGAAATGAGAATTACTTATACAGCACTTCTATTAGCTCTCTCTTCAATTTGGTCACAGCTTGAAAGTTGCAGTGTTAACCATTTTTGCTGAAGATGTGGTCCTGAAGAAACACTAAGAGAGCTGTCCTTTTTAAGTGCTTTGACTATTCACAAATAGGAATAACAGTGTTGATTTTTGAGTGTTGAATTTTGGCTAATTTTACTGAATTTTCAGCACCTTTTGTAAGAATGCTCCAAGCCAACCAAGTATCCAAAGCACAACGCAAGGCAGCAAAAATAATGCATGGCGTATTTTATGGAGACTTTTTTAAACTGCCTCTTGGAGCATCTGTATTATTACAAGGATGATAGAGCAGATTCTGTTTAAAAACAACCTGTATTATACTCACCAAAGGTGATAGTATGGGCAAAAATATTGTAATGGTAGCTGGATTGCTGGCTAATTCTGTCACTGAAGTGACAATAAGGCATGATACCAGGATAACCGACCACAAGGGGAGTGATCCTAAAGGGGTCAATTTAGATGCTACCCAGTCAGAAAGTTTTGAAACCTGCACAAGGAATATGACAACATGATTATGTTTTACAAAACACAGAAAAGAAAATTTAATAAATGGTATAGAACAGGAATTTACTCATCTGCTATTTGTGAATTATTTGTGTAGAAGTGTTTTCTGTATTCTTACCATGTTTTTAAGCATGCTTTTCTAATTCAGTGGTTTCATAGGAACCTATGCAAACTGTATTCCATTTATTTGTATTTGCATCTCTGAGATGTTTAGAGGAGTCATAATCAGAAAATTGTAATATGCATACATCAGGCTTCATAAACACAGTTTGGGTCCAAACCTGCTCGATCTACTGGAGTAGCCAGCAGGGCTCCATGTGAGGGATACCTCAATAACATGGGACATTAACTCCAAGGCTTTGGCAACACTGTGTCTGCACAACACCCACCACCATCAAGTTTAAATTAAATAACAAACAGTAGTCGTCATTGTGCACAGTCTTTGAAGACAAACTCTTTTTTTGTAACCCTGTTTTCTGCATGTCTTGAATATTCATCACATTTATTATGTTCAATATTGCTACAGAATAACTTGATGAAAGAGGAGAATAACCATAATTCATTGCATGTCTGAATGGCTCTTCATGTGGGTCATGCCAACTGTTCAGTATCTTCTATAAATTACACTACCTCACAGCCATCTGCTAAAGCAAATCCGCCACCAACAAGAATAGCTATTTCCCAGGGCATGCATGACTGAAATTCCTTCCAAGTAATCAGTGGAGTGTAACCAAAAACAGCTAGAGAAAAAAAAAGAAAAAGTTTTTTAAAAAAGCCAAATTAACCCCACCCAACAACATTTAAAAACATTAAAACCAACTTGAAATAAAATGCCTCTGAGGAAGTACTTGGGAAGCATTCGAAGGCAAAATTTCATCATTATAACATGAAGAAAGTCTTTGACACGCGCAACCTGCACTTCCTGGGACAGATCCTTAGCTGGTGAAAACTTTCACAGCTTGAAGACAATAAAGCTATAGCAGTTTCCACTGGTGGAGCATTTCCCTATGTGGAAGGTAGCTGTGGGATATCAATGAGTTTACTCAATGAAACTGTGCTGTTCAGACAGATTGCTGAGCAAATGCTGCTTCACTTAGGCTCATTTAGGTTCTGACCTTGCATTCTCTGTGAACCCATGGATCGTATTGATCTCAGCAGTAGAATTGAATGCATAAAGAGGACAAGCCAGAGGTGTACTTTAATCAGGGTAAATTCCATTTTGAAAGGGAAAAATTAAATGAGAATCACAGAATCATAGAACCATAGAATCATAGCATAGTGTAGGTTGGAAGGGACCTTCAATGATCATCTAGTCCAACCTCCCTGCTATGAGCAGGGACATCTCATTTACCACAAGAAATTTTACAGGGTATCTTAAATAAGCAGCAACATTTTTGACAAAATAAACCTAACCTTGCTGTATGCAGTCCTGTTTAAAGACCATCACATTCAATGGAAAGACGGTTTCCACTGGTGGCAGTGGGCTGCAGGTAGCAGATTCCCCCACAATACTAGCTGCCACTGCTCACATTAATTGTTGGTACTGAATACCAGACCAGGGATGCTTTACATCCCGGTAAGATATTATCCTCTAGTAAGATTATACTATTAGTATTTAACATTCCTCTAACAAGCGTAATAAGTTATATTTATGGTAGCATCTTAAATGCCTTATTTTAGTACTATCCACATCAAAATATACTTAACTGTTCTCTCCATTTGAAGTCCTTGTCAGTGTTTTTGCTGGAATAATAAAGAACAGGAGGCCTATCACTAAGGCAGTTGTTGAGTCCGTAGCATATCTTTTATACCTAAGGAGACGTTAACAAGAAAAAAAACACATAAATATATATATAGCCAGGAGGAGTAGGGGAAAAGAACGAGGAAAATGATGGAGCAGCAGAAACCAGCTGATATGGACTGACCACAGCCCCCCATTCCTCACCTCCTGTGCTACTTGGTGCAGTGGAAAGAGGTAGAAGAGTCACAAATGAAGGAGTGAAGTTGAGCCTGGAAAGAAAGGGGCTGGAGAAAAGGTATTGTAGTTTTCATCTTTGTTTCTTGCCATCCGGTTTTATTTTTAATTGGTAATTGATTTAAATGACCCCAGATCAAGTCTGTTTTGCCTGTAAGAGGTGTCCCTGTCTTTATCTTGACTCACAATCTCTTTGACCTTATTTTCTCCTCTGTTCCATTGAGGAGGGGAGTGAGAGAGCAGTTGGGTGGGTGGGCATCTGGCAGCCAGACAGGGTCATTTCATCACATCTGTAGAAATATTAGATGCAAGCCCTCTAAAATTCATGTATAAGCATCTTGAGTAAGCATGTGTTATTTTGTCATATAGAAATAAGCTGGGGGAGGGGAATACTTGGGAATAGCTGATGCTTAAACAACTAATCTTCACAGTTCAATGACAAATTTAGTAATTTTAATATCCTCTGCAATAGATTCAGTCCAACAGACTGTAAGAGCACCATGCATACCCACAAAGGATGGTGGTTTTGTAACTGACAGAACACAGCAGAGCTTTATTATCATCCTCCTATGGTTGTCCTTACTAAAGTCATAGACACAAGGTCCATGTTTATTTTGGTGATTTCTGCTGCCTGAGAACTGCTTGCACTAGCATTTCTTAAACTAATCCAATATCTTTCTAACCTGTACAGAGTAGCCCAAAGTTCAGGTAAAGTGCAAAAGCTAAGCTCTGAGAACATGTTAACACATCCATCTGATTATGTAACACACTACTAGGAGGTGGCACATCCCAGTCTGTCTTATTTCAGCCAAGATGGTCATTCAAATAAAAAAAAAAAATGATGAAGAAAGTTAAAACATTTTCTTAAACTTTGTTTTGATTTTATATTTCTGTTTCCTGTAAGCACTTCTGCAAGTTTTCCTGAACCAATATGTCAACATGTTTGTCTTCTCAGCCTCTTACCGTATGTTTTTCTGCATATGCAGCTACAATAGGGGCAAGCATAACTTCCTAGCAGATTTTACCAGCAACTTAAGGTTTTATACTAAACCAGGGTGTTTCACTGAAAAAGAAAAATCATCCTCCAGTTATATGTTATGGGATCTGGTAGATCCCTTTGCTTTAACAACAGTGTTAGTGAGATTCAAAAAGCTGTAGTATGTATAGCACACTGATACCACAACAAGCATAGCTCAGCTAACACTGTCACAAAAGCTGTACATGAAGCCATCATAGAAGTTGTAGTGGAGACATCCTGTCTCCTACTTCCTATAGATGGCTAGTACAGAGCAGAAAACACTTTTAAAAACCAAGTTGTTATCTTGGTATGGTTTCTTAAGGCAGAGAGTTCTTCCTATACATACCTTGATGTATCACATTCAACTCAGTGTCCACCTGGGCCCTTAGGTCCTTTTCCACCAAGCTTTATTCCAACTGGGTGTCTCTAAAGTGTGCTGGTGCCAGGGGCTGTCCCTCCCCGGGTGCAGGACTTTGCACTTCCCCTTGTTGAACTAGGGAGGTGCAAGTTTTGGCCCACAAAATGTTAGTTTTCTTGATGCAAAACACAGTTCTCAGAAAAACCGCTTGGGACACACACAATATCCTACCTTTAGTAATGCTGTTCTGAAGGCACACATGGCCCCATTCCAAGCAGAAGCTTTTCAATCATTATCAGATATTGAGATAAACATTTTACAAAGTCCAGTTATCCAAGCTGTAATACAATTGCTTATACAGCATCTACCTCCTTATAACACTGCAAAACTGATTGTCCTACAAGGAAGCAAAAAAGCAGTTGATTAAGGAGATCTCACAATACTCCAACTGAAATCATTGTAGAGAATAGAGCTGTTGGCAAAAGTACACAGCGGCCTTGTACTGGAAGTAAGAGAAGGAATAAAACAGGCAGAAAAATGAAGAATATACTCAGCTAATAATCTGAGGAAGTGTGAGGGAAGCCCACCTTGCATACATCAGCGGTAACCAGTTGCAGCCCAGTGCTGAACTTTCTTATGAGATTCATTAAGTCCTGGACAACGGCCTACTTGAAAATCCTCTAAATGAAGAAAATAACCCACAGCCTGGAATCAGGCCAGCACATGGCAGGAAACTACTGTAGCAGAAATGATGTGTGATCCTGTGACGTCAACAGGCTTTTTTAATCTGTGCTGCTCTCTATAGTGTTATGATGCATTTATTAAAACACCCTGCTGTCTGCCTTCAGAGGGAGGCAATAGTGGCTCAGGGCAGGACAGTGAAGTATTAGTCTTTAATAGTTTTATAAAATTTTCTTAAGAAAAATTAATGTATGTTTGAAAGGCATCTGATAACACTGATTAAAAATGAACTCTGCTCAATACTGATGCAGTACAAATGTGGATTAAAAATTAGCTGGCATTTCAAAGAGTTACACTTAAAAAGTGAGGAGGTATCATCTTCACGGTATATCAACATTTCTGCTAGGATTTCAAAAAAGTCAGGGTTCATATTTTAAAGTATTCAGTAGGTTGTGAGGATGCACACAAGGGGCTGAGAGCACAAACGTGGATGATGAGAGTGATGGGAAGTTTTTCTTGAAGCAAAACTGAGTATCCCATTCAGTTTGTTGAAAGCAAGCTTGTAATGGGATATAAATAAATCAGCTATGTATATCCTTAAAGCACCTATCACAGAAAGGTTTTTAATCCAGCAGAGAAGTCAAAAACAGATGGCTGGAAGCTATATTCAGACAGGAAACAAGATGAGAGCTTGTCTTGTTTTGTTTGGCAACAGAATGATTATCCACCAGGACAGATTATCAAGGAAAGTGATAAATTCTAAAATCTGAAGAACCTGTGAGTTGCCACCCTGAAGTCAAGCGTGGTTGCTTTCTGGGAATTCATGTTCTAATAAAATAAAACTCTGTTGGGCTTAACACAGAGAACAACATCGCTCTTCTGATCTTCAGCAGCTTAGAATAAATGAACTGATGGCCCTGACTGATTTAGGACTCTGAGAGTAGTGTTATTCCCACCTATTAGGACTCACTCACTCGTTTGGTTGGGTCTCAAGGTCACTTACAGCTCTGACATTGTGGCTTTTGTAAGGACAAAGCTCATGTCTGCAGGTGACAGAATCTCCATGAGGCTGGCTTGAGTCTGCGGGATAAGACCCTGTGGAAAGTAAGTACTATCAGATTCCTGTTAAGAAATCTGATTTCTAAGGGCAGAGAGTGTTTCCTTACAGCTGTTTCCTGTAGCATAATCTTAAGGAAGTTGTGCACGTCTGTCAGTATACTTAATTCAAAAACACTGAACAATTCTGTACATGGAAGTATTAGGGAATGAGTGTGTGAGAGATGTAAGCCACAGGTCATCCACTGTGTTACCATTGATAGAACCACACACAATTCCTGGGGTTTAAGTTCTTTTTACTGTTTCTTTGTTTTTTTTTTACAGAAGATAACTTACTGCTACTCCTTGCCCCTATTGTGCATCTTGGCTGGAAAGTTTTCATCGCTCAGAAAAGTAAAAAGGTCATTGTCTGGTTTTATGCCAGGCATAAAGGAAAACTATCTAGAAATAGGCAAGGTCTCAATAGTTAGAAATACTTTCTTTCTCCTTAAAGGTTTTGTGAGGGAATGACACAAGTTTTGTCTCTATCCAGGTTGCCTTTCCAAATTATAACATGATACAGCCTAATGTGACATGACGTGTGATTGCATTCCCTTCCAAGGAAATCATCCTTGGGCATGCCTTCCAAGTTACACCAACAAAGTAACATAACTGTGCAGAACCTGTAACCACACTGATTATGGGAATATTCTGCTTTTCCCTAACAGTGAACATAATCCTCAGACAACGGTAACTAGACAGCTTCAAATAGGAAAATTGGAATCCTTGGACTGAAATAACCTATTTGAGCCATAAGTCCCATATTTGAAAGGCTGTTTACAACGTCTGTGTTTCAGTATAAGTTGTATCTCATTAAATGGTGCTTGATGAGCACTGGCTGTCAATATGAAGCAGAAGGAGAAGCAAAGCCAGACTGATTGCTTAGATAGCTGATTGCTTGATTAGGTCAACACTCCAAAACCTCTTCAAGAATACAGTGTTTCATATGAAACCACGATCATCAGCTCTGCTATTGCTATAAGTTAAAAAATCCTTTTGCATTTTTTATAAATAAATAGTAAATAATTTTAAACAATCTTAGTTTTTAAAATGCATTTTAATGCTATTTCTACACAAAATAATTTTGCTTTGTAATTTAAATTTTTAAACAGCTAAAATTATTCTTTGAAAGATCCCTGACAGACATTTTTGAAGAGCATTGGGGATTGTGTGTGAATGTATGAATGGTGGGAATATATTTAAAGAAAGAAGGCATGATAGATGCACGTTCACATGACATTTATCATAGAATCATAGAATCATTCAGGTTGGAAAAGGCCTTTAAGATCATTGAGTCCAACCATTAACCTAGCACTGCCACATCCACCACTAAACCATGTCCTGAAGTGCCACATCTACACATCTTTTAAATATCTCCATATCTCCAGGGATAGTGACTTTACAACTTCCCAAAGAAGTCTGTTCCAATGCCTGACAACCCTTTTGGCGAAGAAATGTTTCCCAATGGCCTATCTAAACCTTTCCCTGGTGCAACGTGAGGCTGTTTCCTCTTGTCCTATAACTTGTTTCCTGGGAGAGGAGACCAACACCCACCTCTCTCCATCCTTTCAGGTAGCTGTAGAGATAATAAGGTCTCCCCTGAGCCTCCTTTTCTCCAGGCTAAACAACCACAGCTCCCTCAGACACTCCTCACAGAACTTATTCTCCAGACCCTTCACCAGCTTTTTGCCCTTCTTTAGACACACTCCAGCACCTCAATGTCCTTCTTGTAGTGAGGAGCCCAGAACTGAACACAGTATTTGAGGTGCAGTACAGTGCGAGTACAGGGAGATGATCACTGCCCTGGCCCTGCTGGCCTTACTATCTGATACAAGCCAAGATGCCATTGGCCTTCTTGGCCACCTGAGCACAAGCTGGCTCATGTCCAGCTGCTGTTAACCAACACTTCCAGATCCTTTTCTGCCCCAAGCTGTAGGGTTGCATGGGGTTGTGTGTGACCCAAGTGTATAACTCTAGCACTTTGCCTTGTTGAACCTCATAACATTGGCACAACCCCTTGATCCAGCATGACCAGATCTCTCTGTAGAGCCTTCCTACCCTTCAGCAGTTCAACACTCCTGCCAGCTTGGTGTCGTCCACAAGTTTAGTGAGGGTGCACTCGATTGCTTTTTCCATTGATAAAGATATTTAAAGGTATTGATAAAAAGTGCCCAATACTGAGCTCTACAGAACATCACTTGTGACAGGCACCAACTGGATTTAACTCCATTCACCACTACTCTTTGGTCTCTGCCATCCAGCCAGTTTTTTACACAGCGAAGAGTACACCCCTCCAAAGCCATGAGCAGCCAGGGTCTCCAGGAGAATGCTGTGAGAAACAGTGTCAAATGCTTTTACAAAAGTCTAGGTAGACAACATCCACATTCCCTCATCCACTAAGCAGATTACCTCATCATAGTGGAAGATCAGGTCAGTCAAGTAGGTCCTGCCTTTCATAAACCCAGGCTGACTGAGCCTGATCTCCTGGTTGTCCTGTATGTGCTTTCTTAGGGCACTCAAGATGATCTGCTCCATAATCTTTCCCAGGCATGAAGGTCAGACTGATAGGCCTATAGTTCCCTTAATCCTCCTTTCAGTCCTCCTTGCAGGTGGGCATCACATTTTCTAACCTCCTGTCTACTATGTCCACCCCACTTAGAACAGCTGATAAATGATTGAAAGTTGCTTGGTGAGCACTTCCAGCAGTCCCCTTGAGTGGATTCCATCCAGCCCCATAGATCTGTGTGTGTTTAAATTGTGTAGCAAGTTGCTGGCCATCTCCTCTTGAATTATGGGGCTTTCATTCTGCTCCTGTTCCCTGTCTTCCAGCTTAGGGAGCTGGGCACCCAAAGAACTACTCTTGAAGAATGAGGCAAAGAATACATTAAGTACCTCAGCCTTTTCCGTATCCTTTGTCACTATGTTTCGCCCCACCTCATCCAATAAAGGATGGAGATTCTCCTTAGCCCTCCTGTTGTTGTTAATGTATTTATAGAAACATTTTTTAATCATCTTTTATGGCAGAAGCCAGATTAAGGTCGGGCTTTGGCCCTTCTATTTTTCTCCCTGTCTAACCTCATGACATTGTTGTAAGTCCTCCTGACTTTCCTGCCCCTTCTTCCAAAGGTCATAAACTTTTTTTTCTGAATTCCAGCCAAAGCTCTCTGGCGAGCCAGGCCAGACCTCTTCCCCCCAGCTCGTCCTTTGGCACATGGGACAGCCTGCTCCTTGAAGATTTCCTTCTTGAAGAATATCCATCCTTGCTGGGTTCCATTGCCCTTCAGGACTGCCTCTAAAAGGACTTTGTCAATTGGGCTCCTAAACAGGCCAAAGTCTGCCCTCTGGAAGGGCAAAGTAGCACTTCCTATTGATCGCACCATGTTTCTTGGGGGAGAAGCCCTAATTTCTACATGACAATTCTCAGGTGCTTCCGTGGTTTCTAACACATTAATAACCCTTGTGTCTTTGCTGTTGCATGGATCTCCACCCCTCATGTCCATTGAGACAGCAGACTGAAGAACCTCATTAGAATACTGTCCCTCAGACACTGGTGTGCCAGCCCCAGGGTTATCTATGGCTAGCCTGGTTTTATCCATTTCCCCCTCAAATCTAGTTTAAAGTTCTTTCACTGAGTCCTGCTAACTCCTGTGCAAAGATCCTTTTTCCCCTTTGAGACAGGTGTGCCCCATCTGTTGTCAGCAGGCCTGGTGTCACATAATCATAACCATGGTCAAAACCCCAAAATTTTGCTGGTGAAATGACTGGCACGCAGGAAAACAAAATGAAATATACCATCCAAGCCCAGCACTGGCCTTTGACCCAAGCAGCAACAAATATTAAATCCAGGAGGACCTAAACAACATGAAATCCTTCTTGTCCCAAACCTTCAGCTGTTTTCCAGTACTTCAGAGCACAAGTGAGACCTTTATCAAAGAAGAAAAGAACTGAAATTACAGTAATTAATCAACCATTATACTTTCTCCCACACTGGACCAAGTCTAGAACATAGACAGTCCGGTTTAGGAGGCATTTTATCCTGTAATGAGTTCAGTACTTTTCAGGTGTTGCACATATACATCTATGAAAGTTGATGGAGTTTACCTATTCTGCACATATTACAAAGGTTTTTAACAACTTTAGCCTGGAATATTTCTGAAGTATTGAAAGTATTTTTGTTTGGTGGTGTTTGTTTGTTTTTAATTGAGAAGAAAAAGGTATGTAGTTAAGACACAATACAGTTCTTGTTCATGTATCAAAAAGATTACTTACTTTGTGAAAAGTGAAGACCATCCTGGGATGAAGCCAGGGTCTCTGGTGAACCACAGTAGGGTCATTAGGATGAATAGGACAAGTGTAACAATTTCTGGGTAGCTATAGCAGAAACAGAATGTGTTATAATTTTTCCTGAATTCACATTTGGATTTAGTCACTTTTGTTTGCATATGTATACTTCGACGTACCTTATTGGTCCAAGTTTCTTGTACTCCTTCTGAATCACCTGTGCTGAGACCTCTTCCCTAGTTGTTTTCTTCTTGCCACACTTGAGCATGTTTTTAAAACTAGAATGCAGATCAGCAATTTTGAATTATGAATTAAAAGTGTACACAGAAAAAAAACACCAAATTCCAAACTTTCCTTTTCAAATAACATTTTACAAAAGTAAAATAGTCACTTTACAATGCATTATCTCCCATTTAATTATCACACACCAAACTGGGTGCATTGGAATTAACTGACAAAGCCCAGGGGGAGATTGACAGAGGCAGCAAAAAAATGTGTCCTGTTATTGACTAGCTTATTTGCTCAGGAAGGATGAAACTTTAATTATGGGAACTAATTGAAAGAATCAAACAAATAACCTAGCTATTTAATGAAAGTCATTTACGACTTTGCCTTACTTTTTTGTAATGAAAATGTCTGTATCACATTAGTAGCCTGCCTACTGATCAGCAGTCTATTTGCTACAAACTATGTTTTTATTCTTGAATAAGACCCTTCCACGACATTAAAAAGAACACTGTCAAAACAAACAAAAATGAAACAATAAATGTTTGCTTATACAGTGGTAAGCATGGGATGATTTTAAGTTTGCTTAAGAGCAGACAGTCTCACTCTTCATCTCTTGCACCATAAGTAGCTATGTAATTGTGGAGGATGGGTGTCCCCACTATTGTTTCTGCAGATGTTAGTGAACTCATGGAGAGCAAGACTTTGAATAATCAACCCCAAAAAAGTATTGGCCTCTACAAAACCTTAAAAGCACAAGTTCTATGGAAAAAACAAAAACAAAAACAAAACACCACCATACCACCACATAGAAAATTTGGAAAAGTGGAAGTTTTTTACTTCATATTTACAAATATAGCCATCCAGTTTATAAAGCCGATCCCTTGAACTGGCTCCAGGGAATAGCAACATCCTGGCTATAAATGTTCAAGTCTTAGATCAAAATACATAAAATTTCAGTATTCTTCTGTCTTGTCCATGCACACTGTTAATGATGATGTGTGTATATTCTAAAGGAACGGCTATCATCATTTGTGATGCGGACCTTTCACACTGGGCTGAGTAGTCAAGGATCCTTACTTTAAAAAATTCTTCTCTCATCCAGAGACTCAGCCTGTTAAACTTAGATGTAATATTTACTCCTGGTACAAAGTACTTCTTGTATCATCAAGCTTCAGTTTTATTGGTTACAACATTTACTTACTCAAACCCAAGGAAAATCCACTGGAGCCAGAGCCAAGAGAGCAGCAGAATAATAAGTGCGATGGGGATGGAAAGGATAAACCAGGATCCAAAATTGATGCACTGACAAGCTGGGTAACGTCTGGATGAAAACAAAAAAATGTTCAGTTGAGGTTTGCAAAGAAATGTAGAGTTATGAGAAGTGCCAGAAAGCCCCGTTGCAAGAGGATGCTTCTGGCTAGTAGTTGATTTTCAGCATGAGGTAGTTTCTGGTCTCCTCCTTCACCCTTCTGTCCTGTTTCTGATCATCAAGACCACTACAGGAGCTAGCTGTGCTAATAGTTTGAGCACTGGATCAGCAACAGGTCCAAAGACCTGATGCTGCTCTAGATGTGCCTAGCCTGAGTTCAGTAGGCAAAGAAGGGCCACTCAGTGTTAAAGACCATTAGAATGACAAAGAAATGGAACTTGAAGAAAAGCCTGTCTTTGAGAGAAGACTTTAGCACAAGAAAATATAATCAAATGGACGAGCTCCAGTGAACTTAAAAGACAATGGTGGAGACAACATCAAGACTTGTATCATTTAAAATTCCATAAGGGATTCAAAAACTGATTAAAACCAAATTATTCTTATTAATTTCCAGAAAAGGCAGGAATGCTTATTTATTAGATGGATTGTCTCTCCAGTCACCTTGTCCCTTTGAGGCTGTCTTCATCTACTGTCTACAGAGGTGAGCCATTCAACCAGAGCTCTCCCTGCAATGTGCATTTAAGTAAAGGAGGAACAGGCACTGGTTTTCTGAAAGGAATGAATTTACAGTTTAATGAGATAGATGTTGGATAGGCAAAAAGGCCAAGTAAATGAATCCTATTTTCCTATTTACTTTACGAACTGAAGTTATTCTTCCTTTGAGCTTCTCCAGCCCTATTGAGAGAGCTTTTAATGCTAAAAGCAATTAGCATTAAAAAGTAAGAAAATTCTGGTCTCCTTGGACAGTCTTCCTCTTTGATGTAAAAATCAGATGGAAAGGAGTTCACAATGTCCAGAGGTTGTAAAAACTATTTCCAATTATTAGCCAGGTATTTCAGGTCTGTCTAGAAGAAAAGGAAATCTCATGGTGACATAGGTCTTTGAGGCAGCAAATCCTCATTATAAATGTTCTCTCAGTTGTGCAGATTTTAGTATTTATCTGTATTTATTCCGATGCTTACATAGAATGCAATTGAAGTGCCAGCAGGGACTGAACCAAAACTCATGCCCACTTCTTGATGTGATGCTCTATACTGCAACTGTACATAGTGATTAGACAGTGAAACTGGAACAAGAAAAATTATTTTATTTATTTATTATGTAGCTATTTGTCTTTTATTACATGATGAACCACATCAGGTTTTGAATGTACGAATTTCAAGATAGGAAAAAACTGACACCAGCATAACAACGACTAAGCATCAATACTTGCTAAAGTGTTTATGATCTTCCCTGAATTATGCGTGATAATTTCTTACTGAACAATAAAACAAGCTCTTGAAAACTTTGTACTAAAGAGTCAATTTCATTATAAAATATTAATTTTTGTGATCAGGTTTAACAGTAAGTTTGTGCAGGGCTGAATACATATGTAAGCATTTCTAGTAATTTTAATATTAAAGTTAGGTATTCTTCGTCTCCAGAATAAATACTCCTCAGGTGACTGGAAGAATTCATTTAAACTATTTTTAAAATTATTCAGTGTATAGTGCTGTTTGGATTATATATTATTTTTTAATTATCTATTACAGGTTTTGCTTGATTCAAGGATGGACAGGACATACTGCACTATTCTTTTCTAAGCCTGTTTCCTTTGGAAAAAGTGTGATTGATTTCAATAATCCTCTTTTTACAGTGATTCAGTACAATAACAATAAACTCTTTCCAGGCTAACACTACAAATGTCAACAAATTTGGTTCATAGAACAAATCCAGATAGGATAATTCCTTTTATGACTCCTATGAAATTGCTTAGGTTGAAAATAATTTGATGCTGGCAAAGTTTTACTCTTTATGTTGGAAGGTCAAAGTCAGTTACCATAATAGGAAAACTAGATAACCTATCAGTGAGCCAGGCTGGAGAACCAAAGGTTTCATCATAGGATTTACTCTTCCTCAAGCACAGGAGAGCTCAGTTTTCTCCTTGACACAGTATTACCTGGTAACCCTTTATCTCTCTAATCTCTCCACGGCCTTCCCCTCAAGCTGGAGTGCCACTGCTTAGACTGCCAGGATCCATAGTCCTACTGTTATGGCCCAGCTGTGAACCTTGGCTTGCAGTCCTTGAAAAAAATGCTTTGTGTGGGAAAGAGCTCTTAGTCTCTACAGCAGAGCTACATAAAAGAGGAGAAACTGCAGATGTGAGAGAACCGATGTGGGGTTCTGCAGCATCCTGAAGGATTCAAGAGGAGAAACAAACACAGAAAAGGTTAAAATATTAAAGGAAAAACATATGGAGTCAGAAGAAAGGGACCCAGCATCACCAAGGATCTGTTCCAAGGAGCAGTGAGGACCAACCCATCACATCTTTAAGTGATGCCTTCCTGGCCAGTAAAGGCATCTGTATATCCTATGGACAGTGGTGAGCAGACTAATGTTTAGCCTACTAGCTAAACATTGTTTTCCCCAGTTAGATATTCTAGACAATATATTGCAGTGTCTCTTTGCATACAATTAAGAGTGAGCCTCAGAGGATCAGTAACAATTCTTTCTTGAACAGGAGCCCTTATGGAAGTTGGTCTTATTGGCAGGGATGCTTAGCATTTCATCAACATTTCCACTGTTTGCTTCTGCCCTATGGACCAGAGCATAATTGCATGTCCTAACTCCACAGCAGGCTGGGGACTCCCAGCAGCAGACTCCAGTGCTAACACAGATAGACTGTTTTCCTCATCATGAGAGGAATGAAAAGGAGGGAATAGAGAACAGTAAATGTTAATTCCAATGTATTTAACACTGACATTGGGAAGATATGAGGAATATGCTATTTTGCAGTGCTATTTTAAGAGCTTTGTCACTGAGAGTGGGAAACTCAGAAATATGCTGTATGTGCAGCTCTTCTGCTGAATTATTCTGCTTCAGTGTTTCTGATACATGAAAGTAGACTGCAGATGTGTCCAAGCCATGCTAATAGGTCAATTCCCACTTCAGTCAGGGCATAAATACAAAAGAAGCCTCTAAGGAGAAGGGAAGCAAGATAGTTAAAGATAAAATTATTTGCACAGGTAGGTGGTAGATTCATCTTAAGTTAAGGATTAGTGTCAGTGTTTGTGGAAAGGTTAAAAAAAATCCTAGTAGGGTATAAAACTAACCCGCACATGCAGTGCTCATGTACGGCACATGTTCCTAGCAGAGGGTCAAGATGCAGAGATAGAACAGCAATCTGCTTATGCATTCTTGAAGAGATTGTTAACAGCTAAGACAAACTGAAAAAACAGCTACAAGCCATTTTTCTTCAAGTTTCCTACAAATTCAGGGAAATGAACAGGAACAGTTTTTATCCCTAGTAATCAGTCTTGGATTCTTCTAGGCTCCTGCTTGAACCAGAAAAGTCTGGATGTCTAAAAGTTTAAGTCTGAAGGACTTACAATGGCATGGTCTGCCCTGTGTAGCTCTTTGGCCCCAGTAACAGGCACTCTTATAATTTCCATACTGCTTCTATTGTTGCTATTCTCTTAGCACAAGCTAATTTACAAACTGTACTAATTCAGTTCTCTTTAGCAGCATGCTGAAGCCAAGTTTCATCCATTCATGGAACACAGGCTGGAAGAAAACCTGTCAATAACTGGTCTTTCACCTTTTTGCCATGTGCAATGCAGAATAGCAGGAAGAGGGTAATAAAAGAAATGTGCTTTATTTTGTTCTGTTTTAAAATGAGCGACTTGGCAATGAGCAGTTTGCAGAAGAAAAGAAAGTTCAGCAAGAACTATTGGTTTTTCAAAGGCTTTGGAATGAAATCTACCAATTTTCTTTTCAAAGTAGTTCTACTTAGAAAAGAAAAGGAATATTAAAGAATGTTTTTAATAACCTCAAAACCAAGTGTTCCACTGAATGTAGTTTCAGACTGATTTTAATTTTTTTCTTTGACTAACATACCTAAATTCCTCATTTGAACAATGCCCCAAGCATAGCCTCCTGAAAGTCTCCTGATATTCTTTGCTAAGCAGACCCAAACTTAGCTCTTTCTGTACTTATAGATGAATAACAGTCCTTTAAGGCCAGATAGTGTCTGTTATTCATGCAAAATTGTGTCTTCCTTTTCAAATAAGCTCATCTTTTTCCATGCAGCTATTCAAAGAGCAGAATACTACTTAACCAAAGAATGGCCATCTTGTTGCATGTGTTGGATGATCGCTTACAGCCTTTCCCACTGTAAGGCAAATACAACCCTGCAGTTTCATTTTATGTCTTTAAAAAAAAAAAAACAAACAACAAAAAGTAGTAGAATCAAATAATGTCCAATTGACAGGTAAAGTTTCTAATGCATTTTAGGGGAGCCATGTGAAAGCTCAGGAAATAACAGCTAAAATTCTTGATTAAGAAGAATACAAATAACTTAATATAGACTCTTACGTGTTGAAGTGCTCAGCAAAAATCAGATTAGTTGATGTTCCTGTGATTGTGGTCAGCCCTCCAATGGTAGCAGAATAAGCAACACATAAGCACATCACTTTGAAAATCCCATTGTATTTGTCCTCTTTGTTTTTTCTCCCTGTTTCAGCTGGTGGTAGATTCTGCTTAGAAAGAATATACACCGATTAATATATAAGGGCTCATCATCAAGCACAAAATAGGATTCAGGGATGTCCCAGAAGAGTGAGACAATTTGTTGGCAATAGAGCTGTACACAGTGTGGTTTGGTTTGCTGTTACATGGTACTACAACTTTTCATGCAAAGGAAGAGGGGAGGGAATCAAATCCCGAAGTCCTTTTCCTGAACTGCCTCAGTGTTTACACAAGCATTTCCTTGTGTATCTTGATACACAGAGTTTACACTCTGGTGAGGTTAGTTTAACTTTTGTAAAATACACTGGGAGCACAAACCCAGTAATGAAATAAGTACATAAGCAAATTGTATGCATATCTACACATTTATCTCTTATTCACATGAAACTATCTTCATTGCTAACTGTGCCGTGTTAGGTGTTATATAGAAAGCGATTTAGGTTAAAACTGTTACATGCATGAGCCACATAATAAAAAGACACCTTAAATACCTGTTCCTTTTCTTTTCCAAACTCTTTTTCAATTACGCACACAGTACTAGCCACATCATTGTCATATCTGGAAAAAACAAAGGTATGTATGTTAACAAACATACTCTATTTAGATTATTTCTTATACTAGATTTTAGTAAACAAATAACTATTACCCATTAATTTGGTTTTCTTTCTCTTTACAGTCACTGCGTTCATATTCTCCTATATTTTCTGTAAGACATTAATGCAAAGACAGGTAAGTATTTAAGGGAACAAAACTGGAAAGGCTCCATCAGCATGTCCCATTTCAGGCAATAACTTCACATCATCCTATGAATAAATTTCCAAGTGCCAATCTTAAAAACAGCTGAGCTGTGCCTTATTCCTTCATGACTCCCATTGGCCAGGGGCTGAATCTTCTAATGAGAGGGAAATCTTTCTCATCTGCAATCTAACTGTGTACGTAACCAGTTTAGATTCACCTATTCTCCCCACATTACTCTAGACCTTAAAGAGCGCTTTTCTTCTGCTAATGTTTAACCTGCAGTGTATTTATAGCTTGTTATCATATTTCTTTCCAAACATTTCACTATGCTGAGCAAGCCAGCGTCTTCTCCCCTCCTCTCATATAACTGCCATATTCTGCACCATATTCAATTAATCTTTATGAACATGGGAGACCTCACACACAGTAATCCAAGACATTTTACAATGTGATTTCCCTAGCCATTCAACTGTATTTTATGTGGTGTTTACTCCACTGAACAATGAGGGTGAGCAAAGACAAAAGCTGCACTGCGTGCCTACCGTCCAGCTCCAGTGTTGGGTTGATGAAGCCATTAGAGCAAGACATCTCCAGCGCATCAGCTTCTGTTTCAGCTTTGATGATCTGCTGAGCTACAGCCTCTACAATTGGCATCACCATGGCAGCAGCAGAGGTGTTGCTGAGCCACATTGACAAGAAAGCACAGCTAACCATGAAACCCAGCACAAGCCTGGAACAGGAGAGAAGAGTCTGTGGCTGCTACAGCAGCACCTCGTATCACCACTCTATTTAGTACAAATTGAAAGCTTTTTCAATAGAAACACTGAAAATTTAAAGCTTGTAATTGACCTCTGAGGAAGATTATGAATTACAATAATCTTGATCAAAGGCATTGAAATGATCATATTTTAAAGAATCAAATATGTTATAAACTGGAAACAATAAAATTTATTTATAGAATAAAGAAAAGAAGAAAGAGCACCATGCGTGCCGTAAGCTTAAAAGAAATTTAAAATGGCTGTACTGCTAATGCTGTTAATCCCCTGTTGTACAAGCTAGGTCAAAACCCTAGGCTGTAAGTCCTCTAGATACCAGTCCAGCTGTTGTAGAAAGGAATATTAACTCAGGAAGCGGTACTTAACTTAGTTCTGAATCAGGGTTTCATGACAGGTGTACAGATTATTTGTGCTTCAATAAACATAAATATTTGATACTAAATGGAAAAAACGAAGGTCATTACAATATCTTAGTCCAGTCTTGGCACATTTTTAGCTAAGTTTACCATAAACAAGAATTGTATCTCTGCAATTCCTGATTGTACTTATGCAATGCACTGGAGACACTCAAGGTTTACACTAAAAAAATCAAATATTCCATGTCACATCTCATAAAGTTAGACAGTAAACTTAGAATACGGGCCACATTGTCACTTCTAATGCATCTCTTGGAGTTGTAAATGAGAGTAGTCTTCCTGACTTCCTGTCCCAAGGTGTTGGCAGTGTCATTAAACACCTGCTATGGATCACAAAACTGAGAGGGACTGCGATGTTTCAGTGTTTTCAGAGAATTCACTCATGTAATTTGTAAAGCTCTTGGCCTAGCCTTGACAAAAGCTTCACAAAAACTGTAACGTTTAGTTCCCAGCATGGGAAGAGAAGATTGTATACAAAAATAACATAAACGATATTTAATGACATAAAAATACCATTCAAAATGCTTCTCATAGCCTTTAGTTTCAGCTAATAGCAGCATTTCAAACTTGATTATTTCTCAGTAGGAGAACCTTGTCTTTTCTCTGTGCACTTTTAATTGCATAATGATGAAATGATTTACAGACCTGCAAGTGAGTAGTGGACCTGGTACAACAAAAATTATCATTGGTAGTATGAAACCTATTACTTTATGCAGTTTTTGATTAGGTCCTCAGATGGAAGTTAGGGAAGATTTGTTTATGCAGAAAATACTGATGAGGCTAACCACACTAAATATGAATATTTACATTGTAGAGAAATATAATTTTAGTACAACTTGCAAGAGGATTTCAAACCAAAGCAAATGAAGACATTTGCTAACAGGTTTCAAAACTATTCATCATAAATCTCCAACATTTGATGGACTGATGGTCAGGTGACCGTTTAGTACAGTGTGTTGTATTCTAATGAGTGACTCTAAGAAAATCCTAACCTGTTCTGCCCCAGGGTTTTTTTTTGTATTTTTCTCTTTGTGTTGCTGTTGTGGAACCTTGGATGATAACTTCATCTACATTCAACTATCAAATCACCCTTTGCTATGTAATTCACGTTCAATGTTTTGCTACTCAATCTATTGCACGTTACATAGATGTATTCACCTTTCCCTCATACTCTGCAGACAAGACTACATAGCTCAAATGATAGGAGGTGGTTAGGGACTTATACGCTCATAGAATCATTTAGGTTGGAAAAGACCTTTAAGATCATCAAGTCCAACCATTAACCTAGCACTGCCACGTCCACCACTAAACAGTGTCCTGAAGTGCCACATCTACACATTTTTTAAATACCTCTAGGGACAGTGACTTACAGCCTCCCTGAGAAGCCTGTTCCAATGCTTGACAACCCTACGGAAATATATCTATGGAAATGTTTCCCAATGGCCAATCTAAACCTTTCCCTGATGCAACTTGAGACTGTTTCCTCTTTTTCTATAATTTATTTCTTGGGAGAGGAGGCTGACATCCACCTCACTACAACCTCCTTTCAGGTGGCTGTAGAGATCAATAAGGTCTCCCCTGAGCCTCCTTTTCTCCAGGCTAAACTACCCCAGCTCCCTCAGCTGCTCCTCACAGGACTTATTCTCCAGACCCTTCACCAGCTTTTTGCCCTTCTTTAGACACACTCCAGCACCTCAGTGTTTTGCTTGTAGTGAGGAGCCCAGAACTGAACACAGTATTTGAAGTGCGTTATCACCAGTGCTGAGTACAGGGGGATGACCATTTTCCTAGCTCTACTGGCCATGCTGTTCCTCAAAAAAAACAGTTTCTCCAGAAGGCAGAATCCAGAAAACTCCTTCTATTCTACTTCCACTGCTACAGCTTCTATGACATTTAATGCAGAAACCTCCTACAGTGGTATCTCTACCTTGGGCTGGAAGAGGATCCAATGTGACAGGCTGCTTGGGTACTCCTGCTAGCGGAGGAGGAAGGCTCTGCACAGAGAAGAGCAAGCATCACTTTGCAGTGGGCACAGCTAACGAGCAGCAGATGCTGAGAGGTGGGAGGATCCTCTCCTTCACACATCATCTTATCATAATCTTATCATCCTTTTGTCATGGAAAAGTGATAGGAAAAAAGTGTCAGAAAAAGTGATAGAGCTGAAATAGTTATGAGGGGTGCTGCTTCCTGAAGGTTGTAAAACTCTGTGGAGTTGCTCTAGGTGTGCTCAACACTGGTTGCAGTTTTCTGTGTCCACAGCAAGTTCCCCAGTGGTGTTCAGTTTAGCACAGCTCGCCATTCACTGTGTTCTCCCTTTCAAGATTTCAGCCAAAAGTTAAGGATTTAGGAATGATCAAAAAAAGAGAAGTTGAAATAACTAAAACTGCAGAGCTCAAGAATGTAGCTGAAGATAATGGGAGGCAGTTTACAAGAATGTAAGGAGTATTTTGTCAAAAAAGAAAGCTGCCAGCTATCAAAAGATGAAGGAAAAATCAAAACACATGTTATATTTAAAATTAAGACAGACAAATCACTGAGGAATAGGAGTAATACAGCATTTCCATGAGGTATTATTAGTTAGATCACCTAAGAGGCTTCTCATTTTTTGGAGCTGGGGTTTTTGAAAGTTTCCCTGACTTTTTACTTCATGTCACTGTCTGCTTTCTGGTGAAGAGTATTAAGCATCATGTATTCTAGGAATACAGACTTGCTCTACAGATGTTATCTGCTGCCTTACTGATGTGCTGATAGATGAATGTGTGGGCCTAAAGCATTTCTGCAAGCTTATAAAACAAGCAAAGAGTTTTCACTTCATAAGATATATGATAGTAAATAGAGAATTTGTGATTTCATCTCCCTCATCACTTCATCCACCTGAGGAAGTACATATTCCTTTGATATTTTCTTCATAGGTAGACAAAGAAAAAAAGCATAAGTATAGACACTGTTCTTAATGTCGTTTTCCTTCCTCACCACATCTTTAGTTGTATGACTTTTTTTACCTCATTGTGTATTTGTATTCTTGGGAAGTGTCCAGAATTTTGCAAAGAACATTGAAATACAAATTAATAATAGGCATAGCACAGATTTTCAGTTTTAAGGATCATATATGTAATATATTAACCACCATTTAGAAACAGGACCCATAGCTTATTCACAAAGTCATCAGGTATTTTGTTCAGAAGGATCCTTATTATGAACAGAATCACTGCAGGGAACTTTCAATTAGGATTTCAGCAAAATAATAAACTGGTAACTACTAATCAATCATATCCTTTCAAATATCTACTTTGAGTAGAAAGGATGGATTGCTGCTACAGAAAAAACAGTAGGCAATTATTTCTGGAATATATAGCTTTCCACACGTATTATTGTCCTTCAAGACATTGTTTAACACATACCATGCTGGGTTGACACCCACCAGCATCACCATTCTTAAAGCCATTCTTTTGTGCAAATTCCATTTTTCTATTGACGTTGCCAAACAAATTACTCCAATCAGCAGCAGATGAAAATCTTTAAAATAAGCAGATGCCACCTGAAATAAAACCAAAACCCATTTTGTTAACTAAATGGTGACTTTCTTTTAGTATTTGGTTTTATCAGTTTATAAAAAAAAAAAAACAATAAGGGTCTATTTTTGAAATAAATATTGGAAAACATTTTTGGCTTAAATTTACACAATTCAATTGAAATTTCAATTTCATTTAACCAAATGATGCAAGATTAACTGCATTAAAGGGCATAGTGTTAAAGCAAAAAGAAAAATAAGGCTTATGATCTGAACAACCAAAGGTCATCAGGCCCATCTGACAAAGAGATTTTTATTAATTTAATCATCTATACAACAGATACAAGAACATATTTAAACACAGTGTTAGAGTATGATCCCCTATGGTGTCCTCTCTTTGACATGAAAATATATACTCAGCATTTTGTACATGACAGCTTTAGTGTGTCATCTCATTTCTGTAACATTAAGGACATTTTATATCTATCTAGCATTTTCCCATTGACTGGCATTAAAGCATTAAATCACAATCTAGGAAAAAATATTAAAGAAATATGGGCAACTCCTGAGGACAAGGCATGTAAGCAAGTCTTGAGGCAGACCTGTTGGGACTGGCACTCAGCAAATCCATGGATTAGCCTACCAGGTTTCAACATTATGTTGTTGTCTCTTTGCAGATTTTTGTCACTGAAATCCATCATATGACAGAAAGGAAAAAATGGGTTACCTGCTTGGATTCCATTATACCGAACAATGGGAACATAACGGCAGGGAGCAAAGCTGAAACAGCCAGTGGCATAGGTTCCGTAAGCCAAAGGATGGCAACTACAAACAATGTGTATGCACATTCTGCTTCCTAGAATACAAGAGGCACCAGGAAAAATATGAGTGGATCATCCAGGGAAGAAATCACAATGTAGAAAGTACAGCTATGCAAGAGATTACCCCCACCTGGAACAAATCAGGGACCTAAATTTGTCAAGGGACCTTGAGTCAAGGAACCTAAATTTGGGGTTTTTTTGTCTGCTATCAGTAATCCAGCTATGAAACATTGTCTGTAAAAACAAAAAAAAAAAAAATAAAAAAAAAAGGTCAGTTTTAAAGAATTGTGTCTAACAGAGGACTGTCAAATTATTTCATTTCTACCACTAAGGAAACATGGGGGAAAAGTCAGCTGCCTTTTTCTTCAAGCATGATTAATCATAGAGTTCATTCTGGAGCATTCTTAGACCATGACTTAACATAAATCAAACATTCTGCAACTGCAAGCAAACCTTTAAAACTCTAAGAGGACTTGCATTCAATAACAGATCAAATTTTGCCTCTCCTGTAATCAATGAAGTGTTGTCATCAACATTAATAAGGCAAGAATACCACCTAATATAACAAATATTGTGCAGGACTGAGAAGAAACACAATTGTTTTTAAGACTTGACATTTTAGTGACTGTCCTCTATTTAAACTCCTTGAAAACAGGGTATTTTTCTTTAATTTTTTTTCCCAGAAAAATTTACTTAACTGTTGCTCATAGAATGCAGACACAGCCAAATATAACAATATAATGACAAAGTGAGCCTTGTTTCTTCTAAAATCCTAGAAATCTATTTTGAGTAGTTTTGAATTCCTGTTCTGCTCTTGAGCAAAATGGTTTCTATCTTTTAATGCCACTGGTTAGGGCATGAAAATGCTCAACAGCAGCAGAGATGGTTTGTATTGGGAAAGGAATAACTTAACAAAACGGCTCTGAGAACTTCTGACAAGCAAACAGATATGTTAAATCCAAGTCAGGCAACTATGGCCAGCATTTGTTTTTGGAGTGAAGCTTGTGTTACATATTAAATTATTTGATAATGCCATTTATCACTTACCAAATGCTCATCTCACTTAAGTCACATTAAAAATTTCTCAAGAATTTCCTCTCAGAGACAAAACTGCAATATCGAAACTGGGATGCAACACTGTATGAAGCATGCTGCTCTGCAACCACTATCTATCTGTGATGCAAAGACTTCTGAACTGGACTTCCATGTGCTGTTACACATGATACTTATAATGCATGTGTGAAATACATCACAGTAGAATTACATTTCATTCTGCTGACACCAGAGCTGCACCAAATACAATCACTAATAAAATTTTTATACATCTTATCACAAGAGTTATTGAATGCCAGAGGAATTTATTTCAAGTAAAATAAAAATAAGGTGTCCTGCATAACCTTTGCTCTATCTAGGAACCAGAGGGAATTTCTCAGATCATTGACTCCAGTCATTTGCTTTCAGACAACACAATAAATGATGAATGTAACAAAATCCATCATCAAATAAAAGTGCAATTGCAGTGGTCTTCCTGACAATTCATTTTCATTGTCAATCATAAAAAGCTGTTTAAAAGTGGACAAAAAGTAACAGCAAGCACAGGATTTTCAAGGTAGTCTAGATGACATTAAATAAAAAAAATCACTTCCTGAACAAGCAAACAAATACATAATTCAGAACTTCATACAAACAGCACAGAATTTTACATTAAAGTTGTTGTCTTCTCTATATATCTATGCAAATACACTGGGTTAACAAATAAATAAATTGAATAAACAAACAGATCTCCCCCCCCAAAAAAAAAAAACAAAAAAACCAAAACCAAAATCAAAACCAAAAACCAAACAAACCAACAAAAAAGAAAATCCACAATGTGAACTTCATGAAGTTATTCAAGGCCCCTTCCAAACCAACACTTCTGTGATTTTATGATTCTGAAAAGATCTGGGAATCTTGGGCTTGACATAAAGGTGCAGAATAATTACCTCTCAAGTGGGTCACTTACTTTGGTTTTGATGATAAGAGGAAGTGGAAGTAAAAGCAGCAGGGTGAGGACAATGAGCAGGAACCTTCGGTAAGCCAGAAGGTAGTTAAGAAACTTCATGGTTGGTGGCTGGTAGATGAACTTTCCTGGAGAAACTGATAAAAAATAGGTTTGACTTTAAATAGCTGACTCCGATTAATGTTTTTCCAAGCTATCACCTTTAGCCATTGCTAAAGCAGGCCAGTAAAGCAAGTTAAAATTAAATCTTGCTCTTTATTGTTTTAGTGAATTTATTAACAGTAGGTTGATAAGATAAGTGTTCATCCTAAACTAAGGCTAGATGTCAGCCTTCTAATGACTTTCTCTCCTTGCCCTTCCTTATAATGAATTTATGTAATTAGAGCAGGTTTTAGACAACTGGATAACCAATTATTTCAGGTGTTTTCCCAGTCCCTGTTGGCTTCAGTAGGAAACTAAAACAACTAGCACACAAAGATATACATTCAAAACCAATTATGGCATTATGTAAAATATACACAAGATCATTTTACTGAGCAGAATTAAAAATTCTTCATCTCCATCTGTGGAAATATTCAGAACCTGATAGGACAACGTCCTGAGCAACGTGACCTAGCTCTGAACTTTGCTCTGCTTTGAGCAAAAGCTTGGACTAGATGACCTACAGAAATCTTTTCCAGCCTTAGTGTTTCTATTAATGATATCTGCCTAGGATTTGAAATACATGATTAAAAAAAGGCAGGGTTTTTTTTCGTCTTGTATGGCAGTGAGTGTATGATAATTCATTTTCTCTTCCTGGGGAGAAACAGGATAATGTGCTCCGTTATGTGAGATGTTCCTGTACATCTCACAAAGCTTTGAGGAAGGCTGAGAGCAGGAAAGGTTTTGAGACAAAAATGAAAGTAAATAAATATATTTTCCTGAATTTTCCTGTTTCCAGTAAAAGAAAAATTGGTACAGTCTTTGTAATACAACCCAGTAGTGTCAAATAAAGAAGAGGAAATGGTATGAAAGAGGATGGTACACTATCTGTGGGTGAAGATCAAAAAGGGGAAGAACACACTATTTCATGATCATAAAGTACAAAATTGGCAGAGGATTCAGATGAAGGAGTCTTTGAGCTACCATCAGAAACATTGAAAGACCAAGTAATAAGCTAGACTTTTTACTCCCTATATAACTTTTTTTGATGGTAAGTATCCCATACAGACAAACCAAGTGATCAGGTTGCCAGTGTTGCGAACGTTTGGTTTCAGGAAGTCATGACTTCGGTTTTTCAAAACTGACTGACAGGAAGGGATTGATTGAAAACCCAAAGGTGGAAAATAATCTGAGGATGGAAATGATAATGAAATAACAGCCTTTGTTACTGCACAGAAAGAATCAGAAAAAGAGTTTTTACACAACCTAGGGAACTGAGACAGACCTCCTAAGAAGATAAATGTAAGGGATAAAGAAATTCAAGTGAACTGGTAGCTTTTGAAAGGAGCTTTTTTAAAGTATATAGTGACAAACCCGGTTTAAAAAGTTCAGAGTCAGTGAGGAGAGAAGGACACTATTGTGCCTGCATGGAGAAAGCTTCAAATATCCCAAAATGAAAAAGGAATTATATGAGATCTGGAAAGATTGGCATGAGCCTGAGGACTGCTATAAAAGAGTAACAAGAATATAGATGAATAAATTCAAGAGGATTCTGATGTGAAATATATTTCAGTTGGAGATGTCAAAGAAAATTTCTGTCGAAATGTCAGCAGTAAGAAGAAAACAGAGAATAGAGAGATTTAGTAAACAGAAGGGAAGAAAAACTGTGGATAGTCATGGAGTACTCAACACTTCCTTTGTCTGAATCTTCACAGAGGTAAATGGCAGTCAATTCTCTAATGAAATTAATTTTAACATGGAAAAGGGAATGCACTACGGGTATAAATATTCAGCTGGTGGGAGTGTTGAATATTTAGATTTAATATATGTATTCAAGTCAACAGTTCCAGATGAAATTCACCCATAATTCATGGGTGAGAATTCATGCAGTAGTCTGAGAACTATTTTAGAATATATTTGAATATATTCTGATATGCCATATATGTGAAAAACTGTGGAGGATTACAAGTTCCTAGAAAATTGGTCAGGCATACATGGAAATAAAATATGGCCAATATGTCATGTGAATTCAATCTAATTTTCTTCTTTTATGAGGCAACTAGCTTAGTGATCAAAGACATGATATATATGCATTTTATTTGATTTTAATGCACTTTTTATATGTGAACTAAGAGGAATTCAGAAGCAAGTACAGAAGAAATGCTCGAGGGAAAACTACGTTTGGGTGCATAACTGGTAAAAAAGTTGTTGTTAAAGAGCAGTTACAAATGTTTCACATTCCAATTTTGATGACATTTCAAATCGGGTCCTTAAAGGGTCTGTTCTGATTAGTTTTCTAGCCTATATTTTCATTAACAGTTTACATCTTAAACTAGCAATCAGCAGGACAAAGGTAATACTTTCTAGCTGATACTAGATCCTAAGGGCTGTTTTTCTAGCATTCTCAGATCATCATGGCTATAGCAAAATGCCATGTGTCGATAGACATACACATTTCAGAACACAAGAGAAAACAGGAAGACTTCCAGAACTAATCCAAGTGAATTATTGCTGATGAGACAGTAGAAATTAGCCTGCAGAAACTGCCACTGAAATCCTTAAGCCTGTTTGCAGGGCCCTGGTAAGAGACCTACAGTCAGTTAGCAGTGACGACTAGGGCAAAACTAGGAGTTAAAAGGAAGATGTTTACGTCCAAAATTATGCTGAGATGTTTCTGGAGCAGTCAAACTTTACAGGTAAGCTGAGAATGGATCCACAGATTGATGATCAGCTAGATAAAAAATCTGCAGTGAAACAAGTTTAGTGGAAGAAGGCTGAAAGTGGTCTGAGGCCATGGAATTTGACACAAAACTTTCCTTATAGTCAGGAATCTGATACAAGCAGGGGCATGGAAAGCTGCTTCCAAGTGCATTAAACATAAAGCTCTGCATGTGAAAAGGGAAGAGGTCCTAATATGATTTAAGGTATTACTGAATGATTAGGTAAAAAAAAACGATCAATTCAATTTGAAAAGTAAGGATGTGTTTGCAACAATGGAAAAAATAGAAGGGAGATGAAGTTTGTAGGAAGAAAGAGTATTTCTTTTCATACCAGCCACTGTTAGCCAGTCTGGGTCAGTACTGATCCCTCACTCGCTAGCCTTCCTGGAATGCTTTACTTACTTTTGTCATGTCTTGAGTTAACTGTGGACAACTCCTGTGTGTTTTCTCAGTAGCTGAATTGACCTCTGTGGTTCATCTTTCCAGACCTCTGGAAAGCCTGTGGGATTGATGCTTTTATGCTGAACCTTTGTCCAGATAGCTGTATTTGCAACCTGGCAGAGGATTCTGCACAGGATTCTGCACAAGTCCATGGGTCCTGATGAGATCCATCTGCAGGTCCTGAAGGAGCTGGCAAATGAAGTTGCGAAGCCGCTGGCCATCATATTTGAGAAATCATGGCAGTCAGGTGAAGTTCCCAATGACGGGAAAAAGGGAAATATAACCCCCATTTTCAAGAAGGGGAAAATGGATGACCCGGGGAATTACAGACAAGTCAGTCTCACCTCTGTGCCTGGCAAAATCTTGGAGCAGATTCTCCTGGAAGGCATGCTAAGGCACATGAAAATCAACAAGGTGCTTGGTGACAGCCAGCATGGCTTCACTAAGGGGAAATCCTGCCTGACCAATTTGGTGGCCTTCTATGATGGGGCTACAGAACTGGTGGACAGGGGTAGAGCAGTTGATGTCATCGACCTGGACCTGTGCAAAGCATTCGACACTGTCTCACACAACATCCTTGTCTCTAAATTGAAGAGACATCAATTTGATGGATGGACCACTCAGTGGATAAAAAACTGGCTGGGTGGCCACACACAAAGAGTTGTGGTCAATGGCTCAATGTCCGGCTGGAGACCAGTAACGAGTGGTGTCCCTCATGGATCGGTGTTGGGACCGGTCTTGTTCAACATCTTTGTCACTGACATGGACAGTGGGATTGAGTGCACCCTCAGCAAGTCTGCCAGTGACACCAAGCTGTGTGGTTCGGTTGATACGCCGGAGGGAAGGAATGCCATCCAGAGGGACCTTGACACACTTGTGAGGTGGGCTGATGCTAACCTCATGAAGTTTAACCATGCCAAGTGCAAGGTCCTCCACCTGGGTCGGAGCAATCCCAGGCACAGCGACAGGTTGGGCAGAGAAGAGATTCAGAGCAGCCCTGCAGAGGACTTGGGAGTGTTAGTCGATTAGAAAATGAACATGAGTCGGCTTCAGTGTGTGCTCACAGCCCAGAAAGCCAACCATATCCTGGGCTGCATCAAAAGGATCGTGACCAGCAGATCGAAGGAGGTGATCCTGCCCCTCTACTCTGCTCTTGTGAGACCTCACTTGGAGTATTGTGTGCAGTTCTGGTGTCCTCAACATCAAAAGGACATGGAACTGTTGGAACAAGTCCAGAGGAGGGCCACAAGGATGATCAAGGGACTGGAGCACCTCCCGGATGAAGACAGGCTGAGGAAGTTGGGGCTGTTCAGCCTGGAGAAGAGAAGGCTGTGTGGAGACCTCATAGCAGCCTTCCAGTATCTGAAGGGGGCCTATAGGGATGCTGGAGAGGGACTATTCATTAGGGACTGTAGTGACAGGACAAGGGGTAACGGGTTAAAACTTAAACAGGGGAAGTTTAGATTGGATATAAGAAGGAAATTCTTTCCTGTTAGGGTGGTGAGGCACTGGAATAGATTGCCCAGGGAGGTTGTGAATGCTCCATCCCTGGCAGTGTTCAAGGCCAGGTTGGATGAGGCCTTGGGTGATATGATTTAGTGTAAGGTGTCCCTCCCCACGGTAGGGGGGTTGGAACTAGACGATCTTAAGGTCCTTTCCAACCCTAACGATTCTATGATTCTATGATTACTACTTCTCTTTCATATTTGAAAAAGAACTTGTGTACTCAGAAACTCATCATTTGTGTGGGGCAATACAGAAGAGGAAGTGTTTGAGAAGGAGGAGAGAAAATGAGCCTTTGAATCCTTCCAAAAGCTGACTTTGCCATAAAACAAAGCAAGATCAAAGGACTTGCAT